TATATATATATACAGTATATACACACACACACACACATTAGAGCTGTGAATCTTTGGGTAAACAGTGAATCACGATTCATAAGGTTTCGATTCAATTCGAGGACAATTTTTGCAAATTCAGAACGATTCGATACGATTCACATTTAAATTCGATGCAATTCGATTAATGATTCGATTCTGCATTCTTTAAGTGCATTCACAGGATTATTGAAATGCTTCCCCTAAATTCTTTAAATGCTTAGTCAGGGGGCAAATTACACAGCAGCCTTTATGGGGTCAGAGAGTGAGAGCAAAAAAACTCTTTTGTCCATTGTTAGATGTTAGATAAAGGCTTTAAAAGTATTATTTCACGTTAACTACTGTGTAGCATAAGGCTGTGATGGTATGGGATTTTTGTTACCGCGGTGAAGATGCAACAAATCACCGCGGTTTGACGGTTAATCACAACCCCCCTCCCCCTCCCCCAGCCGCCGCGGAAATATGACTTAAGAAGGCATGCAGCTTGTAAATGAACATGGAAATGAATAATAATAAAGCAGTCTTCTTTATTATTAAAACAGCTAATTATATTAACAATAATCAAATAAAAATATATTTATTTCAACTTAGTTTTTTTTATATCTTTTGAGTTTAATATGAATTATGGAACCGTTTCTAATCATTTAACAGCAAATTATCATGAATATTATTTAACTTAAGGCTACATTTATAAAAAAAAAAAATGTTAAAGGGGCACATAAAAGAGGCTTTTTTTTCTGATTTGGGTTTTTCGAAGTGCGACACAAAGGAACATCAGGAAAATCATTGTTAAACTACTGGGCCGCTTAAGTGAATCGGCAAGTCCTGCTGCTTTATTTTTCAGTCTTCAAGTTTCTTGCCAGGAAAACCAACATGTTCACTTTGGCTAGTTTCAGCGAAGATCTTAATGGATTGACAATGTTGCCAGCCGCACTGAATACACGCTCGTAGCGCATAGTCATATATTTTCTGGCAACTTTCGAAAGAAGAGGGAATCGAGCCTGATTATCCCGCCACCAGGCAAGCGGATCAGATTGCAGATCGAGGGCTTCCTCCTGCAAATACCTTGTGACTTCAGTGTCTGCACGGATTCTTTTTGGGACCGTATTGGAGGACTGTGTTTCCAAGCAGGTCTGCAAGATAAAAAAATTTTGGAGGAAAAAGACAACTCCGTGTCTTATAAAACGCATTATAATCGGGCCTGTTTTTAGGCTTTTCCTTATTTTTATATTTTAGACATCCATCAGTTATGGTGATGAAAAAAATGACTCGCCATCTCCTCATTGGATGTGCCTTTAGAGAGAAATGCACGGATTACATAATGAAAGAGTTTCTATTTTTGATTTGAATTATTTCGTTTTAAAGTAGTAATTTAAAGCTTTCTATATAATTTTTATCATGTCTGTGAGGCAATTCGCTGAGTTTAGGTTCATCATTGTGAAGCGCTCCTGTTCAAGACCGAGACGGCAGAAAGCGTTTGTTTCCTTTGTTTTATAAAAGCACAACGTTTGGTTGATATTGTGAGTGCACACAAATAAAACTAGACCCTTTACAGTTTGAAATGACGTATTACCTTTACCTTTATGAGCTAAAATGACTGCCTATTTTAAGTTGTTTCCACTGTTAGAAAAAAATGCAAGTGATGATGCTGGCGCCTCCATGTCCTGCAGAGTGCACGTCAGCTTCCACTCTCCGCGCAAACGATTGGATATGTGTCTAACAGCGCGCATTTATCTAGGTTAAACATTTATATGCTATGCTTGAACTGTTTTATATCTATAGATTTTATTTTAGGCAAGTCGTGATGATTTATGAAGGCTAAATTGATCAAACATAGGCTATGATCAACTCATTGTCTGCCGCTGGCCGCTCGGTCGTTACTTTAAAAAACAAAAACTTACATTTAACGAACAAAAAAAATGCTACAAACGTTTTTCTAAATTAACTTTATAAAAAAAAAACAAATGAAATATAATCACTTTTCCATTACATACAAAACTGAACTATTTTAATAGCTGAAACAGTAGTAACCTATAAGCTGTTTTGGGAAAAGGGGAAAAAATACGGGCTAGGGCCTATATTTGAGGCCCGTGCAGGGCTCCCCCCCCCCCCCCCCAGTAAATTGACACACAATGATTATTGTTTATATTTCATATCACACACCATATGCTCATCTGTAACTTTCACTAGCAAAAAAAAAAAAAAAAGTGCGGTGATGACCTCAACACCGCGGTCGGCATCTAATTACCGCAGTAATGCGGTTATCGTCACAGCCCTAGTGAATGTAGGCTATAGGGTAACATTTGATGTCACACCTTTGCCTGATGAGTTTCTTCATCTTATTTTCATGAAATAAAATGCTACAGTATTTAACCTTTCCTTCGGGGAATGATGATTCTGAAAGAAAATGTGCCCGATGTCTTTTTGCTATAATAACGAACGCAACTTTCAAGCATTTGATTGACAGATAAACCTCGCGCTCATATTTCAAGGTTGTTGTTAATGCTGTGGTTATTTTAACAGTTTAAAGGGCATTTATCATTCAATGGAACTGTGCATATGCTTTTAGACACTTACATTGTTTTGGCTCCGTCCATGCAATAACTGATCAGGCAGTCAATCAGAACTACTGTACTCTAGCAGTACTGTCCACGAGTACTAAGGAGAGATCACACATTGGCTGGTCAAAAACCAGTCAGCGAGAGCTACGAATGGAGCGCGAGCGTAATCCTGTGACTTGTGAAGGAGATGTGAGGACACAAACAATGCTGTTCAAGGTCCCCATTCATTTGTGCTTGTGGTAATTTATTATGTGTATATTTTAAATCATTGAATCGCTATAGAAATTGCGATTCATTTGATTCTTAGTATTTTAAATCGATTATTGGCAGAAATCAACGATTCACAATTCAAAAATCCACGTTTCAAGATCGATGATCGAGAAAACGAGCGAATCGTTACACCCCTAATATACATATATAATTGTATCAACAAAAAAAAACTTGTGTATATGATATAGTAATTTCCGTGTTTTCTGTGTATGTGTGTAGAATCTGTGAGGAATCAGCCCCCTGCACCTGGACCTCCGGTTGCCCCCAGTCAGCCCAGCACTACAGCTGAACTGCAGAAGACAGAGGCGGTGATCAAAGAGGAAGAGCCGCCAAGCATAAACCCACCGACGGCCCATGTTCGGCCCACACACCCGCTCAAGAGCTTCGCTGTGCCAGCCGTCACCGTTTCCGCTCATAACCCGCCCACCTATGAGACCGCATTACCCAGCACCCCCCTGCTGGCACAGCCAGGTCTGTTTTCAAAGCACCACTGGGGTTGATAGTTTCACATGTTGTGGAGCTCATAGCATGTTCGTCTGTGTTTCAGTGCCCGGCGTGAAGATGGCGTCTATCGGGACACTAAATCGAGTTCGAGCTCCGATGGCAGTAACAGTCCCCAGTGCACCTGACCAATCAGAAACCAGCAAGATGCTGGACACGGTGAGTCACTTCCTGTAATGTAGAGGTGGACCGCACTGGCTCACTGTATTTCAGTAAATGCTTCATCATGAAAACATCTCATCTTCTTATCATGAAAACATTCACATCAGTGCTATTTTAGTATTATTTATATGCTATTATAGTTTATAAACATATTTTAAATTAGCTTTTATTTTTTGTATTTTCAGTTTTTGATTTTAATTGCATGTTCTTTTTTGTAATTTCATTTGTATTTTTTCCCCCGTTTTTTTTTTTATGTATTACTAATTTGGTTGATTTATTTTTATTTCAGTTTTAGCTTTAGTAAAGTTTTTTCCAGTATATATATATATATAATTTCATTTCAGATTATTTAAATTAAAATGTTAAGAGTTTTAGTTTTAGCTAACAATAACAACCCTGGTCATAAGAAATTGTATTTTGCATAAAGAAAATTAAGCCTATTTTTAGGACCAGTAAGATTTTTATGCATGATATTTTTTGACTAATCAGCAGATTTAGTAGCAGAGGGGGTTGTTAATCAGTTTCAGCTTCTTAGGTGTGCTATTGTGTTTAAATATTTATGATATATTTTGTAGTCAATATATATTTGCAAATTTTGTCAATTTTCATTAGCATTTGAATTTGGTTTTTTAAAAAATCATATGAATTGTAGTAAAATAGCTACATTATTAAAAAATATATTTTTTTAATTTTTGTTTTTATTTAGGAAAGAAGTGTGATGTTCTATTATATGAAAGTTTGAATACATGTTTAATTTTTTATTTCTCCTATTTCTCTTTTTACTCACTGGCTGGCTTAATTTATATGGTTTTGTCTGTCTGTCTGTCTAATTTTTAATAATGAATAACTCCAAAAATGAAATGCAATTTTTCTTTTTAATTTGTGCTATGCTTCTGAAATGCATGCGCTTTTGTTTGTTTTGTTGTAGGTTGCGCTGTAGCGTCTTGCTTTATACTCTCACCAAACCCATTTCCCTCCCTCTTCTTCCTCTCGCTTTTCCTCTTTCTGCTTGTTTTGTTGGTTCTTTTTTTCCCTCCACTGCATCCCTCAATCCTAACTCTAACACGGCTCGTCTGGCATGGCTCTCTCTCTCTCTCTCTCTCTCTCAGACGTATGAGACGGATGAACTCTCAGAGGAAATGGCCCACCTGGAGGGTCTGATGAAGGACCTGAACGCCATCACCACAGGCTGAAGCGCTGCAATCACAAACGGCTGAACTGCGTCCTCAGGAACAACCAGGACATTTGAATGAACACTGATCTCAGATCAGCCTCGAGAATGACTGAAAACGGATCACCGCTTCATCTTCTCCATCCTGCATGGCAGAGAAATCTGTAAAACCATGAAAACTCAGTGCCATTTTCTCAACTCGGATGAACCGTTCTACACAGAAAACGTGTTTTTAATGTTTTTTGGAGGATTGTGTTTACGTATTCCATATTTTTAGACTGTATGTGTTTTCATTGTGTATATGATCATTTTAGGACTTTTATTTCTTAGGGCGAAACCTCACATGCTCAAACATTGGGCTTCATTCATGAAATGCAAGCAGAATAATTTTGTGTAAATTATGCGCAAAGCCATTCTTATGTAAATTGTTGCATTCAAATCAATGCAAAAATTGACAATGTACACCAAAATTTGTGCATGGATCCATTTTCACATAAATGTTGCATTCAGAAAACCGTTATTGCATAAATTGTCAAATGGGCATTTTTTCAGTGTCAGTAACATCATCTTAGTTGTTGCATTTGAATTGAATTCCACGATTTACATAAGAGCAGTTATTGAGCAATTTGCAATTAATTTACAATTATTTCTGTTTGCTCATGAATTCTCATGAATGTTTCATGGACTTTTTTGCAGTGTCTTACATCATGTTTAAATGTTTCATCTCTGGAGAGAAACCAAAATCACTTGTCCTCAGACGCCGGTAGCATTCAAAGTCTGAATATGCATTGGAAATTTCCACATGGACAGACATTTACGACCATCTTAATTCAGTCCCAATCCAGTGACGTTGATGTTTGGTGCTTCAGAAACTCCTCAAACGTGAGAATTGTGAGAACAGAGAGCGAATGAACCGGTTCCTCGTGTACGTTCCTCTTCCTCAGGACCCTGATGACTGTTTTTGGGGCCCTGGAGAGTCATCATGAAGGAGTTTAATGCCAAGTGACTCTCAGATTTTTGTACTTTGAGAGGTATATAAATATATATACGATGAACTGCAAATGTTTGCTTACGTGAATACTTTGTACACTCTCAAAAAGGACAATTTTTATATATATATTCATCTTTCGGTTGGTTTTTATATGAAGATGACACATTGCTTTGTAAACATTTTCCATGTAAGTTATGAATGGTTAAATATTCTGCGTTGTGTTTTCACCGTGCTGTTTAGCCAATCCCTTCTCCCAAAGAATGAGCGAAAGAAAATATCAGCGACGAACTCTGCCTTGCTCGTGTACAGTTTCTCACGTCATGAATGTCAATGTGGCTGTAACAAGGTCTGCTTATGAATACAGTTGTTGTTTGTGTTTACAATAATGGGGGAAGATTTAAAAGAAAAAAAGAAGACACCAAACCATGTTGTATGGCCGGTGTACCGTCAACTGTCATTTGCACTTTTTATATTTTGGATTTGAAATGAATCGCTGATGCCATGTGAAATATGAACCTATTTTATGTAACAATGATGTCACAAGTAAACGGCTGGTTTCAAAGACATTTAACTTGTTTATTTTGTTTTTATTTTTTACATTATTAAATAAGAACATATTTGCATTTTTTTGATACTTCAGATACTTGTGCTTTTCGGTTCGACGTTCGTTGAAGAAAAGTGGAACGATTATTCATTGTAAGTTATTTTGCAATGTATTGTTGCTCAATACTTTAATTATCAATGCTGATTTTGTACTCTGCTCATTTAAAGGGGTCATATGATGTGATTTCAATTTTTCCTTTCTCTTTGGAGTGTTACAAGCTCTTGGTGCATAAAGAAGATCTGTAAAGTTGCAAAGACTAAAGTCTCAAATCCAAAGAGATATTCTTTATAAAAGTTAAGAGTCAGCCACGCCTACCTAAAACGGCTCGTTCTAACACGCCCCCACATGTCTACGTCACTATGTGGGAAGATTTGCATAATGCCGCCCAAATGTTCACGCAAAGAAAGAAGGCGTAACTTTTATTTTCGCTGTAGTATTGTTGACACTGCCGCCATGTCGTGAAGGCGCTGTGTGATTCATTGTGAAAGCGAAACTACTTTTGTTTGGTCTTCCAAAAGAGGACGATAATAATTATTGAAAAGCCTCTTACAAACACTAGTGAAACGAAAAACATTGATAAACCTTAGTGAAATTCATTCATACGCATTGCTGAAACCCTCTTACACACACGAGTGAAAACATTCATCAACCTTAGTGAAATTCATTCATACTGAAAAAGCCTCTGACTCAGTTAAGCACAAACCCCGCCCCTCAGCCAATTCTAAAGATTTAATTGGCCGGGAATGTTGTTCTCTGGCTAAATGCTTGCTAGCATTTGGAAATTGAAAAAGGAAAGTCACACAGCTGTCTTTCAATATTTCAAAAGGACCCCACAGAGACTATTTTTGGTTCTGCAAGTTTTGCTTTGTTTTCCTTCATTAGGAACAATGAGGACGACATTACAGCTTTTTTTTAGAAGTACACTGCAGTGTTTAGAGGATATTCAGAGAGCTGTTGATGGCATGAATATGGAAACCCTGCTCAGAGAACTTGAGGATCACACAAGAACCATGCATTCATTGTTGCAAGCTGTAAGGGCCGTGGATGAGTACAATTCCTGTTTACGAGAACTGGAGTCCTTGCACAGATGCTTGTCTTCACTGGAGCAGAGATATGGTTCCATGCAAAGACCAGCTGAAGAGATAGTTACTCCAACAACTCTGACCCACTTGCCAGGACTTTTGCCATCTCTCATGAGCAGATCTCATACTGCCTTGCTTTAGGTATGAACTGGCAGCGAACTGCAAATTGCTTGGGCATTAGCCGACGTACACTTTATAGACACAGACAATGTCTTGATGTTCAGCCACTGACATACACCAGAATGTCAAATCATGCTCTTAACAGAGCTGTAAGGAATATTTTGGAATGCACGCCTAATGCAGGAGAAAGATATGTTCATGGAAGCCTTAGAGCACGCAATATTCGAGTTCAACGTTGGCGTATCAGACAGAGCCTTCATGAAGTTGATCCTATTGGGCGAGCATTTAGACGACGGCATGCAATTCGGCGAAGAGTTTACAATGTTCAAGCTCCAAACCAAATATGGTAGGCTTTTTATATATTATAAGTAATTTAATGAGTAGCAAATGCTGTTGGCAGGGGATTATAAGTAAAATAATAATGAACTTTTGTAATAAGTAATACATTTTTTGGAGTAACAAACCCAACAGAGTGGGGGTTCAATCTTCAGCTGGCTGGTAGGAGCAGTGCCAGCTGGCAGTAATGATTCTGGCAGGGCACGTGGCCTGTCCACTTTGGCAAATGTCAGCAATCGTTGATTTTTGTGTTCCTCCCTGTCTTGCTTTGGTGAATTACATTCTTATATTATTATGCTTCTGTTAATATGATTACGCTTTTTTTTTTTATACATGATTTGTGTTTTAGGTAATTTTATCCTAATTAAATCCAGCCAGCTGCTGTTGAGCTGCGAGTATAACGCGTTGCCTATCACTCTCGCTGCAAGGTAATTTGTTTCAATTTTATGAATATTTTTTGTATGATTGATGTTTTAGGGGGGTTAATCCCAAATAAGGCAGTCGCTGGCAGAGTGGTATAACAGCGGGTGGCTGGCCAGTCGGGATCACGGGCATTTGACTTTTTTAATTAGGATAAAATTACCTAAAACACAAATCATGTAAAATAACAATCATATCAACAGATGCACAATAATGTATGAATGTAATTCGTCAGAGCTAGAGGAACGCAGAACACAAAATATATAGTTGCTGAAACGTGCCAAAGTCACGTGACCTGCCAGAATCATTACTGCCAGCTGTCACTGCTCCTACCAGCCAGATGAACCCCTACTGATGACCCTGTTGCACCTTCTGCCCAATTAGAGTCGCTATTTCTCTGTTATGTTTCAGGGTGCATTCAAAATTACAATAAGGGCTGATATCAGTGCCCTACATAAACACCATGCAATGTTTGAACAATTTAGTTGTAATAGTTAAAAGTTAGTCATAACACTGCATTTTTGACCTAGTTTGTTAAATATTTTGAGGGGAAGGATGTCACCAATCCTGAACAATGCCACTACGGATTTTCAGTGAGCACTCTGGCAAAAGCCAGGCCTGCATGGGTTAAGTAGAACACATTCATAAGAGGCCATATCAGCTCACAGAGGGTTATTTCAAACGGTTTACATTAAGTTTAATTGTTCTTTTTATGCTACTTTTATTCTGGGGGAAAAAAAGAATAAATATGAAAGCATTATTTATTTATTTTTTTACTTTCATTTTGTTTTTGTTTATTTTATGATTATGGAATTACGTTGAATGTTAAACGGTTCCTGCCTCCTTCTTCCTTGAGCCTTAACTTTACAACATTGGTGCTAAAACCCGGAAGGAAAGAGGCAGAAACCGGCAAACTTTCAATGTAACTTCACGGACGACTGACACACAAACATAAAGCACAATGTAAAGTCCAGGCCTGGTCCTCTCATATCCTTCATTATTGTCACTCCTGCTTTTATCCAACTGGAGCTCCTCTGTGAGACACTCAAGCCTGGTGTGGCACCCAGGTGACGCTAACTAGCAATAACACCACCGGTCTAGCTCTGCTCCATCGGCTCTCGGCCTCTCCCTGCTTGCCACAATAACAGTTTTCATTTTTGGGTGAACTATTCCTTTTAATACAACTTGTAATTGAGAAGGGTGCCTACTCCATGCCAAAACCATGCGTGTTGGCAAATGCAAAGTCCATGGAACTTTTGAATTCCCCGTACTTTGTGTGAAAAGGCAACTTAAGGCAATTAATGCAAGTGTTTGCCATTGGAAACGTTGATATCACTGCTGACTCAGAATCTTCCTTATGCAAGAATTCGATTGTAGGCTGTGGTGAGAAGCCAACTGGTGGAACACAACTTGCACCAGTTGCAAAAGCCAAAATCTTCTCCAATTTTGCTGGCCCTTCTTCATCTGGAGGAGAACAGGAAAAAATTACAAAGCTTGAAATCTGAGAGTTTAACATGTGCATTACCCACAATTACAGTGCTGCACAGTAACATACACTATATTGCCAATAGTATTGGGACACCCTCATTTTAATGAACAGGTTTGACTACTTTAGTAATTTCCATAAGTACAAATCTTAAAGGGGTCATATGATGCGATTTCTATTTTTCCTTTTCTTTAGTGTGTTATGTAGCTATTTGTGCATGTATAAGATCTGCAGAGTTACAAAGCACAGAGTCTCCCACAAAATGATTTATTCTATCTAAAAGAGAAGGCTCATCCAGACCAGGCTAAAACGCCTCGTTCAAACACGCCCCCACATCTCTATGCCAGGATGTGGAAATATTTGCGTAATGCCGCCCAAATATTCATGCAAAGAAAGGCAGCGTGGTTTCAGTAACCGCAGTTAGTGTTGAAGCAGCATGTCAGGGAGACGCTGTGTGTTTCAGTGCGAAAGCAAAAGCACTTTATTTGGCCTTCCGGAAGTAGATGCAATTAGGAATCATTGGTTAAGATTTATTTACAACAGAACAGCACAACCCAGATGTTCGAATTTGTGCTCATTTTATGGACGACAGTTTTGTGAACCCAGGAGAGGTTAGCTTTCAACTTTCAAGGCTACAAACTTTGCACCCTACAGGGCTGGCTGTGCAAAGGCTATTTCTAAAAAAATTAAAATAAAAAAAAGGGTCAATCTCGACTTAGCTAAGACAATCTGGTGCTTATTCTGAATCAGCTACTGTAAGTATGTTTTCTTAATAGTTTAAGTATTTGCTATTGACTGAGTAGTATTTGAGGCTGTGTACCCTATAATGCATCATGTTTGGGAACTCACGTGCCCAAAAATTGCAGGATGAGGCAAGTGTGTTAAATCTAACTCTGCTGGACATTGGTCCTGCAGGACTCCCCTGCTTTAAAAAGTCTTGTGGGTTTGGAATGACATGAGGGAGAGTAAATTAAGCCACAATTTAAATTTTTCTGTTAACTAACCCATTAATAAATATTGTATTATAATCAATAAATATAATTATAACCCACCTTCCATGTCCTGAATATAATCTTGCCAAAAGGGAACAATGACCTCTTCTTGCACCCTCTTATTGCTACCCTTTTGTGACAGGCGAATCTCAAAAAGCCCTTCAAGTACGTCTGCAGTTAGAGGAGCTGGCTCATGACATAAAATGGGGCGAAAGCTAGTCGGATGACGCTGAATTGCATCCAAGACACCCAATGTCTTCATTCCATCTCTGAATCTATATAGGGAAGACAGACAGACAGAAAAAATTGTCACTATCATAACAACAGCGATACAATAATATAATATTTTGTATATGTAACTTATATAGTTTTATTTTACAAAAAATAAATCTTTTATATCTATAGTGTTTGGCTGCACAATGCATTCATTGCATCCGACACGTTTTATCACTGTCATGCCTCCAACTCAGTTCAGTTAAGAAAATGTAGAGTTTCCCAGTCGTAATAACGACTTAGTGGTGGCGTTCATGTGCATTCAACTTGTAAACACGATCTATCCGAAATTACTTGAACGCACCATAAGAATAGGATTCCGGTTAGACTGACTGGTCAGCCTAAACTCATCTTAAGAACGACAGATGCGAGTCCTGCACAGTGGCCAGAGGGATTCTGAGCCATTTCTCTTGCAGAACAGTAGCCAGAACAGTGATCACATGTGCCATCAAAACACTCCAACACTGTTTTAACACTGACTTTTGACCCGCTTTGGAGGTTAGCAATGAGTTGGTTAAGACAGTAGTTTCTCCCAACCACTAGAATATGGAAATAATTTCTACTATACCTTCTGATCACACTGCAAGAAAAGTGATGTTCTTTTTCAGTAGTTCGGTCTCGTTTTCCAGTGCAAATATCTAAATGGATCTTAAAGGGATGGTTCACCCAAAAATGTCATTAATTACTCACCCTCATGTCATTCCAAACCCGTAAGACCTTCATTCATCTTCAGAACACAAATTAAGATATTACTCATGAGTGTGAGTAAGTAATGACAGAATTTTTTATTTTTGTGTGAACTATCCCTTTAAATCGAGATACATTTACTTAAGAAGCAAAACGACATAAGAACTCTTGTGAAATAAATGATAAACTCTTTGTTCTCAGCTAAAGAAAAAACAAGAAGAATATGCTTCAAATTGAACACTAAACAGCAGCTACGCTAATTATGTTTGTATTTGTTTCTCTGTCTTTTGCCACGGGATTAACATCCCGTGGTAACTAGGATTTACACAAGCTTCAGTCTGGATCCAGAACACCTGAGAAGAGAAGATGCAACCCCTCAGAGGACCTCAGATGATGCCAACCCTGAAACAACATACAGAACTACCACATTTTGCTATAAGTTTGATTGCATCATATAATAATTGCTGTTAATATTATTCATCGTCTGTTTTATTATGTCTTATACTGATTTTTCTGTACTGCTGGTTCGTCTGGTCAGAGGAGAACTGGCCCCCCGACTGAGCCTGGTTTCTCCCAAGGTTTTTTCTCCATTCTGTCACTGATGGAGTTTTGGTTCCTTGCCGCTGTCGCCTCTGGCTTGCTTAGTTGGGGACACTTCATTTCCAGCGTTATCGTTGACATAATTGCAAAGATATTATTTAAACTGAACTAAGCTGGATGTTGACATCACTGAATTCAATGATGAACTGTCTTTAACTGAAAAATGAGTGTTTACTATTGTCATTTTGCATTATTGACACTATTTTCCTAATTAATACTGTTCAGTTGCTTTGTCACAATCTGTATTGTTAAAAGCGCTATATAAATAAAGGTGACTTGACTTGACTTAAACAGGTTACCTTTCAAATGCTCTCTGGACCCTGTGGACAATCTGGAACATTAAGATGTCGTGTACAAGAAGATCACGGTCTTCAACGCTTTTCAGAGGCCTGAGACATCCAGCAGTCAGCAAGTAGTCCAACAATGGCTCTGTTGCCTCTAACAGCTCCTTTAAATTTGTGGCATCTTGAATCTAAAAACAAAATAACAATAATAACAACAGCAACAATAAGAAGAACAAAAACTAAAAATATTAATAATAACCTTCTGAAATTAAGGCAAAGCTCAAAATACCTTTTTGACCTTCTCATTTAAACAAGAATCTGAAATGTCATCCAGTGTGGGTTTTGCGGACTCCGGGCCATTGACCAAACGGGAGTGCAGTACCTGTGATAGAAATCCTGGAGCAGGCCCCCCATGGACTAAACTGTGGTCTAAAGTGGTCCCCCTAAGTCCACTGCTTCCTCATGCCTCCCAGTGTCATCCGAGAATTTAACTGAGATTGCATTGGAGGGGTTATAGTTGATTCGGGTAAAACCTCGAATACCTCCTACAAGCATTGCTGAGCGGTTTATGTTAAACCTGCAGTGTGAATTGTAGTTTATGTTGGAGGCCAGGTCCAAAAGAATATTCTTAACAGGAACATCCTCAAAGTTTCTATCAACACAATTTGAAAGAAAAAATAAAGTTAACTGTTCAACCACAACTCTGAAAAGCACTTGATCAGGTATGGAACTCTGTAATGCTATGATTTGTAGACAGTGCTCAATGCAATTATACCATGGTCTGTCTGAATACTCCATTCTGACTGGCTGGAAGGTGTGCAATAAAACCATTTTTTTACACAGGTAGTTTCAAGTCAGTTCAGATCTAATGCTAGATCTGCTGGATGTAATGAGCCGTAACTGATCAAAAATAACTGTAAATTTTACCCTTCCGGTCAAATATTGCACTACAAACATCAATAAGTTTCAACTTGTCAATGTTGGCAAATGACCATGGTATAAGCGCATTAACCAATTTTAATACAATTTGCAGAGGCAACCACCATCCGCTTCACATCAGGCAGTTCTTAATGCACAGCTAGCTGTGGCTTATCCCTGATTAATATAACTCACAACAGCATAGTTAGTTGATACTTATGATGTACTTACCGATGTGTTTCAATGCTGGCAAGAATTGCCTGGTTAAGATCTTCATCATCTGAGGAAAAGTCTGAGAAGGAGGTCATCACTGACAGATAGGCACTGTAATCATCATGGCTTGTTATCTCATAGTTCACTGTATTTGGAGCTGAAGATGTTGAAGCCTGCTCAAGAGAATGCCCTGGTGAAGTGGATGGTGTAGTTGGCCATGAACTGCAAGGCACTGTTGAGTATGAGAGTAATGTAGAAGGTTGTGTAGGAACAGGCTCAGCAATAGGTGGGGAACATAATTCAGTGGTCCTGTGGCACTGTTCTAGAGGTGTTATCTCAGTTACTGACTCAGAGTCTGTACTGTCATCTTTCCCGTTGTCACCACAAAAGGAGTCACGCTGCCAAACAACACACACACAATAGACTTGCACTAAGACAGCACATTATAATATAAAATAATTGATCAAGTAGTCATTTAAGAGCAAGGCCGTAACCTTGTCTTGAACATGAGGGACCAACTTTCATACAGAAAATGGGAATCTACGTCACGGAGCGTTGCATTCCACCATGTTTTGGAACATGCTCAGAAGCACAGTGTAAACAAACGCAAATTACCACAGAAAAAATGTAGAAAAAAAACTGTTGTGTGTCTGAGAAGCTGCAAATATTCATTACATAGCATTCAGTCTCCTTCACTAAAGTGGTACTGATATGGCTGCTAAAACACTTAAGAAAATTAACCATGGTTTTATTATAGTAAACTTGTTGCAACCATGTTTTTGGTGTAATTATTATCATTCGTATAACAAGAGTGCTGCCTAATGGTGGGCAGCAGATCAGTGCAAATATTGGGGGAGGGCAGTTTGGCCATTTGTAATTATTGAGGGGGACTTGTCTATTGTGGTTACGGCCCTGTTTAAAAGTATGCCATACCTCGATTTCCTTCGATGGCCTTAGGTACAGGGTCTTTGATTTAAAGACTTTGTGAATCAGTTGTCCACTCAGCTCCTGGCCTTCACACACCTTTGGTGCAACTAAATTGTTTCCACAAGGCATCATGAGCTCTAATCTGTGAATAAGCAAAAAAAAAAGCAAATGTCAAGCAACGAATTTTTAAAAGAACATTTATCAATTTGATTTCAGTTGATGGAAAAAAATGGGTCCCAAAACCTTCCAAGGATATTGTCCGGTAGCGATTGTGGTTAAATCACAGATGTTTTAGAAATTACAGCTAAACTAAAATAATTATAGCCTAACTAAACTTTTATGGAAGAATCAACACCCATTTCTTAACAATTAGCAGCAGTACAACTTACTGGCATATTCATTCGTTTGTAAATCATGGTCATCATTGTTATTTTTTTCCCATTTTAGGAAGTAAGTGCATTGTAAGCCAAAAGATGTGTGAGAAATGAAATGCGTTCTGAAAACATTACATACCTGACATCTGATGGCAAGCAATCTTTGAATGCTTCTTGTAATTTGGACATAGTGGTGCTGTAATCCCATTCTTTTTGAAACTCAAAAGCACTAAGGATGTGTCCTTTCTGATACAACATTCTCTTCGTGGACTGCTTGCATGTCTTGTCCCATGTTGGTGAAGGCAGCAGAATTACATCCTTGTTAAAAGACTGGTAAAATTGTCTTCTAGGCCTTAAAAAGATAAGTGGCAATGAATTCTTATTCTGTTCTCAAGTCTATGATGAGCAGCACTGACGTTTTAAAATGTATACAAGTAAAATCAACTATGCAAAACAGCCAGACTTTGGCAGCACTGTAAAACACACACACACACACACATATAACCTTTGTAAATAAGCTTTAAACTCACAAATGGTTATATCTTAACGCCAATGTCCCAATAGGGTGAGGCAATATTGCATTGATTTAGGACCAGAGTCAAGTCCGCTCAGAGAAGCTGCCTATCATGACGTCATACTCCCGTTTTTAAAGCACCACATATCGTAGCACGATCTCGCTATAGCCAATCACGTTTTGCTTTACAATCAGGGCGGTCTCGTCCTGAGATAACTTCATGCATCTGCATTGGCTCAAATAGGTCATATAAGGGCCATACAATGGGTACAGTAAAAGATGTTTAAACCTGGATTTCGTTAGACCATTAGACTGTGTATCATGCCAAGCCACAGTATTTTATGTTATGTGCCTTTGAAGATGCCAGAGAAACAGTGTGTGATGAAGTGTAGTAGGTTAAACTAGTGCGTGTGCGCATTTACAGTGCTTTCTTTCTTTCTGTATCAGTTTATTAAAATACATTTCGAATGATCACAAAATTTATTTTATAAGCACAGGACACGATTCACAAATGCGTGCAGCTATCTACAAATGCACAGGACGCGATTCACAAATAAACGCCAGGCAAAGTTGTGCTTGTGACATAAATATATATATGTGAATATGTTTTTTATTTGCAAATCTCATTTTATTTGTGAATTTAATTCATGTTTGTGAAACTTTAAGATTTATTTGTGGATCTCATTCTATTTATTTGTGGATCATAATCTATTTATTTGGAATTAAGCAACAATTCTATCTCCATACATAACTAACTAAAACCAAATTAATTTAAAAACGAACAACCGTACTGACATAAGCGTGATAAAAAACTATATAAAATGACAAAAGCATCTTTGGAAAAATATTATTTGAAGTGAAATTTAATTATTTAGTTTGTCTGTATAATCATACATATAAACATATAACGTTAATCAAATGTTTAAGAATACTTTAAAGTACTCGCCTCTTTTTATTTCTTTTTGATTCATGCCAGGCTCCGAACATTTGGCGCATCTGAAAATGCGGGTCCCGAGTTGGCTGGACGAAATGCATTTCTGATCTCATCTTCTACGCCTTCGTTATTTGCGGAAACATTAACGGTACTTCGCTGAGCATTCAATGTTGATGTGAGGGAAGGAATCGTGTTTGGTGATTGTAAAATATTGTTTAAAATATTAATAGCCTCAGACAACTCGTTTCGATTATCCGCCGTTGCCAAACGATTTTGTGAGACACGCGCCGGCGCCAAATTAAACGGAAATGTGGACATGGCTTCCGTTTCAAATGAAATTAGCTCTCATCAACTACTGAAATCTTCTCTCACTTCAGCTGTGTATGAATGAATTTCACTAAGGTTGATGAATGTTTTCACTCGTGTGTGTAAGAGGTTTTTCAGTTATGTGTATGAATGAATTTCACTAAGGTTTATCAATGTTTTTCATTTCACTAGTGTTTGTAAGAGGTTTTTCGATAATTACGGCCTATACGGCCCCTCATACGATATCCGCTTCGTCATGCCTAGAGCTGATCTGTGCTGGTCGCTGAGGGAATACATCAACTTTCACCGTGGACAAAGCGGAGTCCAGCCCGGGGCAACATGTGGTTGCCGCTCATTCGTCGCATCCGCTGGGCACGGCGTTCTCGACCCCGCCGCCTCAGCTCACTCTATCCCGGCCTCAGCGCACGCTAAGCCGGGGCTTCCGCTCACGCTAGGCCGCTGTGTTTTTCGTTGTGAAAGCGAAACTACTTTGTTTGGTCTTCCAAAAGAGGACACGACTACAAATATCCAGATGTGTGCAGCACATTTTATGGAGGACTGTTTACTGATCCTGGGAGAGTAATGTTCGTAGCTGTTGAACCTACTTTCATAATTTAGACTAGTAGACTGCACATTTTAGAGAACTACGTTTATTGAAATCAGTCAAGTTTGGAAGAAAATCTATTCTGTAGCTCTCAAATAATATTATTGAGCAAATTGGACAATCTATGGTTTCCCGGTTTTTTTTTTTTTAAGTGTTTCAGTGTTTCTACAACCTAACAAAGGATATCCGAATTCCTCGTGTTTGATATGATCACATGACTAAGAATTCTGCTCGAAATGCACTGCATTTGCTTTAATACCATAAATAAAAAGGACTCGGGACAAAATTTGTTAATCAGAAAAATTTAATTTGCTCAAAAAAAAAAACTGTTACACTGTTGAAAAATATCTTCGGATCTCATCTGACAAAATTATATAACCCTTTCCAGAAAGTGGCATTTTGTATGGCAAACCATTTTACCCATTGGTTTCAAAAGTTAGGGCTTACTAAAGCTAAAAAAAATCACCCATGTAAATTTAAGTCCGAGTACTAATCAAAGTATTCTGATTTGACTGTTTACAATCAGTAGCCTAAAATAAGCTTGTACACATGGGAGGAAAAAACATTGCTCTATACGGTTATCAAAAAACACATCCCACCTTCAGTCTTACGATTAAGACAATAACAGTAATGTTCTGTGTCCGTCAAGATTCCGAGGTTGTCAAGATTCTAATTATGCAAACATGGCTACGCCTCCACGGAATTCTGGGCGCATATCATTATTTTTTGGCACTAATATGGAGTGCAGAATGTTTTCAGGAAATCAAATAAGCACTTTTCCACATCAAAGACCGTTTTTACGCTGGCGTGGATTTAAGCGTACGCACACTCTAAGATCAAATCTGAGCGTATGCACGCTTTATAAATGAGGCCCCTAAACTCTCATGACATACACATAAAAGGTTTTGAGATCCTTCATGATAATTTTTTTTAATTTAAAGAGACTCCTGTACCACTATGGACGACGGGGAAATATTCAATTACTTTATATACAGCATAACCAAGGTCAAAAAGGATACAGGACACAATTTCTGCACTCGTACAAATATACAAACACACTGATGAACTTCATACCTTTTGCTTCCAAACAAAAAAATAAACACGAAAGTAGTGCCTCTGCAGTCCAAATCGAGATCCAGAACCAAAGCAGGTGAGCGGAGCTGGGCTTTGGGTTCTGTGTGGGCCGCTGGGACAGTGAGGGAAGAGATGCAGGATCTCGGTGGTGCTTTCTGGTTCTAGTTCCTCTGCAGAGAGCTTTGGGCGGCTGTGGTGGCTGCGGTGGCGGCTGCGGTCTGGAAGGTGTGGTTCGTGACGACGCCTTGGGAGAATTCCTGCTGTGCCTTCTGGAAATTGGCACCGGTGCGACGGTAGTGGGCATGAACCTGGGAAAGAATCGCACCAATGACCCAAGAATCCAAACCAAAGATCCACAGGTTTTCACTCAGAAATCGTGAGTTACCTACCATTTTCAGTAAAATGACCGACAGTGCAGCAGTGGCCATGAAGAAGGCCGCCACCACCATCATGATGACACCCACCACTTTGTTTTTGCCAATCACTGCTATGGCACTAATCCAGCCGCTGTAATTAAATGAACATCGATTAACCAATTTTATGTTAGTTCCTTCTAAATGATGCAGTGTTACGACAAATGTGTGCATATAAAAGAATATTCTAGGAAGTCTATTAATTTTTTTGCATTCACTTTTATAATGTACTATTTATTTGATTTTGAACAAATTTCTAAATACTGAAAGACAGCTGTGTGTGGGTGTGTGTGTGCGTGCGTATGCAAGCGTGCGTGTATATACATTTTTTATATTACATTTTATGTATATATATATATATATATATATATATACACACACACATTTTTTTAATATACGTTTCATTATATTACAATAGGTTTATAATATATATGTCATTTAAAAAATGAGAGAGAAAAGAAAATTCTAAACATCATTTTAAAAAATCTAAAATGCCAAAAACACACAAAATATGTTTTTAAATATGATTTAAAATAAATATGGTTTAATTTCAAGATGTTTAATTTCAATGTATAAAATATTTCATTTTATATTAAAAATATATAAGTATAATTGTAAGTTTATAAATAAATATTTTCTAAACAAAAAATAAATATTTTTTAAAAATACTGTAAATAAACTCAGAGAAGTTTGGGTGCAATATTCCTTTAATACTCCATAAATAAACATTACTGCCTAAATAAACATCACTAATGAATTGTTGTAAAGCAGAATGAAGTGCAGAGGAACTGTATAGAGTGACCTCTGCTGTACCTGTTGCCCCATCGAGGGATGCCAACGCTCTGAATCACAGACACGACGATCTGAGCCAAGAAAACGAAGAAGAAGACGAAGAAATTGAAGGAGCTGTCAGACCTGAAAGAGAAGGAAATATACTTATCATTGACAATGAAAAATTTTTTTAATATTAAATGAAAAACTTCAACATTCAGAAAATCAGAAATGTCACCTTGGCAACTAGCTGAAAATAAAATAAATTTGTTGAAATGCTAAAATTACTCAAAATTACATTCTAACTGTTCAAAATCAAATGTTATCAAATATTAATACAACACTATAATTGTATACAAATATTCCAGAGAGTCTCTATATAACATTATATTATAACACTATATAACATTCTCATAACAGTCTCAACATTAAAGATGTCAGACCTGAAACTAAACAAGTTCAACTTCAAATACTACAAACACTTACTGGGACGGGACGTGACGTGACGGGACGGGACGGGATGTGACGTGATGGGATGGGGGGATGGGATGATGGGATGTGGGATTGGGTGGGATGATGGGATGGGATATGTGATGTGAGGATGGGATGTTGGATGATGTGATGTGATGATGGGATGGGATATGTGATGTGAGGATGGGATGGGATATGTGATGTGATGATGGGATGGGATATGTGATGTGAGGATGGGATGGGATATGTGATGTGAGGATGGGATGTTGGATGATGTAATGTGATGTGATGATGGGATGGGATGATGTGATGTGAGGATGGGATGGGATATGTGATGTGAGGATGGGATGTTGGATGATGTAATGTGATGTGATGATGGGATGGGATGATGTGATGTGAGGATGGGATGGGAT